AGAAAGAAAGAAAGAAAGAAAGAAAGAAAGAAAGAAAGGAAGGAAGGAAGGAAGGAAGGAAGGAAGGAAGGAAGGAAGGAAGGAAGGAAGGAAGGAAGGAAGGAAGGAAGGACAAAAAAACAAAGGTGAATGTTAGCCAAGTTTAGCTGGTTGTGTGAATGCAGGCATCTGGCCACCCCTGTTATGTGAACATAGTGAACCAGTAGCTTAGTATGAGTTAAGGAATCCAACCCAAGTTTTGTGGCTTATCACTTTGTCAGAGACAGGAACAAATGAACTATCTTATCCTGTCCTCTGCATCAGATCCTAACCAGCCACAACAAACCAGCCTCACTGCTACACAGAAATCAAACCCTGTGGCCCCCTTTCTAGTTTGGCAGCACCTTGACATATCCCAGTAGCTGTACCCCCAAGTCTAGCTCATTCCCAAATGCGGTAAGTCCCATCTTCAGTCAGCCACACCGTACTACTCATTTTACAGGGCAATATGGCCAATTTCTATACCAGAGAATAAATGGATGCCAATAGAAGAGAGTATCTGTAGCTCAGGGTTGAACTGTGAAGTCCTTGGGGTTCTCTGAGCTTGGTTGTTTTCTTGCAAATGTTTCGTTACCTGGCTAGGTAACATTAGCGCTAAAGATGTTACCCAGCCGGGTAATGAAACATTTGCAAGAACACAACCAAGCTCAGAGAACTCCAAGGATTCCACATAAATGGATGCCCATATTGATATTAGGAATGGCAATATCCCAAATCGGACCAGGGGGAGGAGATTTCAACACCTCGGGACACTCTGTCACTCACTTGAGGTTGACCATCTTTGAGAAGAGGAGTTACAAGATCAATGTTGATGCAAACCAGTTGAGTTTAGGAGACACAACTGTTTCTTGTGGATTAGATAGAGGTGAGGTTCTCTTGCCACACTATCTGAGGACCCCCATAATAAGTCAGAGACATATTTTAATGCTGGAAAAGGTATTGGAAATATCACTATGTCTATGTCATTCTCACTCTCTTTTTTCCTGTCCTGCATCAGTGAAGCCCAACCTTTTCCAGATGCCCAAAGGCTGTTCCTTCAGTTGCAGGAGACCAATGAAGACTAAATAATCTACTTTAGGGATCTCTCTTCCAGGGCAAGTTGCCCCAAAGTTTCAGCTCAGCTGGGAGACCCTACTTCGCTCCTATTTCTTTGGAAGCCACACTGACATCAGAACAAAAGTGGTGTTCCAATATTACTTAGCAAGCTGACCACTTTGGGCCATAATGGAACATCACACCATAAATGGAACAACATACCATGGACACAGAGAGTTTGAGGGGGAGAATGCTACCACACCCAACTCATTGAACTTGTTTGCTCCATTAACTCATTTTTCTGGCTAGGCACATGTCAACAGAAATAACTCACCCACCCACCTCTGCAACCAGATAAACACTTATTGGCTGTTTCAGGCTGATGTAGCCACCTCTCCTGGTCCTTGGTCTGCCTCTTCCAATACCTTCTGATTTTTCACTCCTTAAAGAGCATGTGAAACATTAGGGAAACTATCTGGTATGTTGGGTTGCCGGAGTCTGAAATAGCAGTGAAAGAGTGTGCCGATGTAACGCAGTGCAAGAGTGACATTGCCTAAAAGGGAGATTGTGTAACAATTGCCCATGCTGAAATAGCGCAATAGGGTGAAAGTGAAATCCTTAAGAGTGCAATGCTAGAGCCAAGCCCTTCCACAGCAGAGGAATCCCCAGAGCAACAGTTGGAAACTGTGTAGAAAAAGGAAAAAGAGAGAAACACTAAATTTAAGTCAGTGTTTCTTAATCTTGGCAGATTGAAGATGCGTGGACTTCAACTCCCTTGCTTCAATCTGCCAAGATTAAGAAACACTGATCTAAGTGCTGCCCTCCATGAAATGCTACCAAAACTCAGCTCCATCAGCTATTTTTTTTCACACTTCTGTTGCATCTGAATGGGGGCTGAGGGAGGACTGCCAGGAGGACCTTAGAGATGATGAACCGAAGCCCATGGCCAGACCCACCCCATTCATGCTGCGTCCCCGTGATGGGCTTGTGTTCTTCCAGCCAACCAATGGTGCCAAAGAAGGAGGGCAGCAAAGCTGGAGGTCCTGGCCAACGGTTCTGCCCAAAACAATTATTAGATCCGTGACGTGTTTTCTTTATTTAATGGATCCAGTTTTTTTAAAGCAAACACTACATTTGCAAACTAGAATCAAACACAGAACCGGAGTTTGTGTGAGCAGACTTCAAGTTTAGGTAACATTTAAGTGCCGGTGCTAAACTATGTGAAAAGTCCTGTGTCACCTTGATAACTATGAGATTTACTGCAATGTTTTGGCTTTAATCCAGTGCCTGAAGGAGACCAAACAGAAGGCATACTCCTGGCAACCTATAAGATGGACTTTTCATTGACTGAGTCATGGTTTGCTTAACCAAGGTTTATGGAATAAATCACAGCTGGCTCTGTCTGTATAACATGTTAAGCCAAAACTATGATTTACAAACCACAGTGGCTGAATTCCTGGAACACACTGGGCCTCTGTAAACACTACAAACGCACACACACACATTATCATTTAGTAGCTATTTTCACACTTCACCCAATCAGTTCTAAACCTCATCGCTGCATTTTCAAACAACATGTAGAGCTTGGCTAGCTGTAAGCACATTAATTTCTTTGTGGTTTCATGTGTTGAGTGGCCATTCAGTTAGTTTATGATTCAGTATACTGAACCCAGAAAATGACTTAACTCAGTAAGCAGGTTACAAGTGTTGTGTGAACACAGGGGTTTCAATGTATGAAAGCTGTGAGAAATGTCCCTTACCCCCAAATGAGTTTTAAAATTGGAGTTAGGGAATTAGCATTTATTTCAAGTCTTACCCAAAAGTTTCCATTCCCTTCTCCTTACACCCACAAAACCTGGGCCTTGTGACCACTTAACTATCACAGAACTAAAGGAACCTTCCAGAGTAATCCAAACAGACGTCTAGAACAAGATCAAGATCCAACATTTTTTCATGAAGATGATTAATCAACTTACAAGATTAAATTATTAAAGAAAAACTGTTTTACAAGTCTGTTAAATCAAGAGAATCGGACACATCTGTTAAGTTCATTGACATTCATTCTTCATTTTGTTTCTTTTCTTTGGTGGAGAAAAATATTTTTAATTAGTATTTATTTTAAAAACCCTTATTTTACAAAGATTTACAACTTTGGGAAGATAATTCAGACTGAGTATTATGCATCGTTAAATAATAACTGAAAATTGCATAATAGAAAAGGGAGAACAAAAAGCCTAATTTTGCAATTAAAAAATGCAATGAGTTTGGATAGATCAATTCCGTCAACCAACGTAATATAATTGACCAAAACATTAACAAATTAGACACTCAGTAGAAAAGCAGCTGCAATGATCAGGGTGTGGGGGTCAGTAAATCAAGAATTATCTCAACTCACTCATGGGATTTTTCTTCGAGAGAGAAAGCCATCTTGTAACAAATTTTGCTATATTCTTTTCCCATGATGAGGTGCTTGTAAGAAGTAAACCTCAAGCGAAAAAAAAACCTTTACAGACAGGAACAAAATTGACACCATTTTTCAAGTTTTTTTTTTTCATATCCTAATTCTGAATTTCTCCCACATAGTAACACTTCACATAAATTACCCTTAACAAATTACAACAAAAAAATGCTACCATGTGGAGCTCTCCATCAAAAAATTACTGGGGCCCAAAATGAGAATTTCCCCTCATTTCCCCATGATATCATATAGTTTGGAGGGGCTCTACAATTCCTTATAAATTAAAAAAAAGCAATTTTTCAATGAAATGCTCAAGCTTGATCCAAGATACCAGCAATTTTTGCATGGAGGTGAATCTCCATTTGGCGCCACTCAGAATGTCCAAATGTCTTCTCACCAGTGAAGGCGAATAGATACGAATGGATACTCAAATCCAAGCAAAGGTTTCTCATCAATCAAGAGGTTTTGGATTGGTGGTTTCCCCATTTCTTTGGGCCCCAGTTGCTTAATGCCAGTAGTGAAGCTTCTGCTGAATCAATGATGTCAACCATGGAACTGATCTTTCACTTGACAACGTTCAGTATGAAGGTCCTTTGACGGAACCTACTTCAGTCAGCTGAGCTGAGGCAGAGGCCCCAAGGCAGACAACAGCCTCGCAGAATCCAGGAAGGCCAGGAGGTCCAGGTAAACCAGGACGTCCTGCTTCTCCTGGAGCACCTGGAACACCTCGCTCTCCATGTTTACCGTTGACAGCTTGACCAGGCTGACCAGGGGGACCTGGAAAATGAAAATGAAAGAATATATGGTTTGTCCTTATGTGCCTTACCCCCTTCTACAACCACTATTGTTTCTACAAGCTCTAAAACTACCCTCACCTCTAAAAGACTTGGAAGAAGTTTCAGAATTCATTTTCTATTAGCCACTTACTTGCTGCCATCACCTCTCAGGAAAGAAGGCACGAACAACAGATCTTGGATATATCAGCAAAACCTAACACCTAAGCTGATGCAAACTGGAGGTCAACCAGATCCATATGGCCAATACTTCAGATCTGGTGAAGAAGGAACACCAGCAGGAAAAGAGATGATACACACTGTACACTGATGTCCCTTGACAGCTCCAATGGTCTCTACAAGAACTAGACCTGGGAGCTTTTGATGCCAATTGTTCAGAAAGCAGTGGTAGGTAGAAGACACAGTGGTGAAGCTAGACATCACCAAAGAGTTTCTATACCCCAAGGCCTCTTCTTCCATTGCTTCTTCTGACCACTGTTCTAATTCTTTGGATATATATCTCTCATTCCCTTTTGGTGAGTACAAAATCTATCTGATCCATAACTGAATGAAGATGTATAACATTCCCCAAAGTGGTGCCCTCTGGACATGTTGTGACAGCAGCTCCTCCACCCTTCCCACAACCAAAAGTGCTTGAATAATTCCTTTCCTACTTCCCAATAGGTTTCAAGAGAAAATGAAATCTTTCTCAAGGGAAACTGCTATACTGTAAAGATAGGCTATAACACACTGAGTTTATCACTTCAAATCCTTAGCAGTAAACATACCAGCACCTTCTCTAAAACTGCAAAAGATTTACATGTGGATTATTTTGTGCAATGTCTTGGAGATGGAACATTCATGGTCATTCCACAATTATCCTCCAATGATATCCCATAGTCAATGATTAGCCGGGGCAGCTGGGAATTCTGGAAGTTATTCCATATCTGGAGGAGAGCAGGTGGCATATTCCAGCAACCCAACCTTACATGTCTGTTCCTCTCGAGGCAGCCCCACAGATCATCTCACCTGGTATGCCTGGAGGCCCTGGCATCCCTTGATGTCCATGGCCAGGTTCTCCTTGGTCTCCTGTCTCACCCCTCTTTCCTGTAGGATGAGGAAACCGCAAAGTTTAACTCATATTCAATTCACACTTTGTAGACATATTGTTTGACGGGACCAACTCTGCCCTTCTTTCTAGTTGTAGAGAGCCACAGAAATGACCTTGGAGGGACCAGAGATGGTTTCAGAAACAAAAACATGCATTAAGCCAAGGAAACAGAGAAAACATTCGAAAGCAGCTCAGACTGGCTCCACCCTAACTCACTGGGATGTAAGAGGGGGAGGGGAAAAACATAGTCAGCTTTCAAGATTCTGTTGGTTTGGTTGGCTTTGGGTCGGTGCTGACTTCTGGCAAGTGCCTGGACAAGTCCCTGAAGTTTTCTTGGCAATATTTTCAGAAGTGCTTTGCCCTTGCCTCCTCCTTAGGGCTGAGAGAGACTAACTGGTCTAAAGTTACCCAGTTGGTTTCATGCCTAAGGCAGGACTAGAACTCGTGGTCTTCCTTTTTTAGCCTGGTGCCTTTAACTGCTACACCAAAGTGATTCTCTCAGATTCTGTTACTATAGCCTGTATCAATATAATTCCAGACAAACATGTGGAGTCTTGTTTCCTGACCTGGCCTATCTAGAAGGACTGACACTAGCCCTTATCTCTAGTAACTCACCTGGAAGACTTTATAGAGAGAAATCATTAGCTATTCCTGGTGCTTGGATGGACTGTGCACGTTCTACCAAGAAAAACTCTAGAAAAACATTCTGAAACCTGCCATCCTGCAGATGTACTGGGACTACAACTCCCAATGACATTATTTATAGTGAAAAAACAAAACATTCACAGCTTGTGAGACTGAAATGGGAAAAAGGAAGGATCCATTACAGAGTTCTAAGGGGTAGAGGCTGAATTCAATTCAGGATGAATTTTTAATGGTACCAAGGTAAGGGCACCATTCAAAATACTGGGGGATTGAACAGATGTTCCTGGCAAGGTTCTCCATGCAATGAATTCCGGTTGTTGTTGATATCCAATGAGTAGAGTATGAAATGAGGTATCCGGCAGTTGACTCAAGCCAAGAGTAATTCTTTTCCTGGCATGAATTACACAGTCTTCTTTAGCAAGATTTGTTGAAGTGTTATACAAATTTCAGCAAAGGAACAATTCCCCCTTTAGAGCCAACTTATCTCCTAAGGCATTAGGGTGGAGCCTTTTGTAATTTCTTTCTAATGGCTTCTCTGTGAACTTCAAGGATAAGGTTCTTTATACTGATCATGAATGAGCCCGCAGGTGTCTATTCACGTCTTCTAAATCCTCATCAGTCAGATAACAAACCCTTATATGATGCTTCCATGCAAAGACATCTTCCTACCTTTGGGTCCAGTGTTGCCTATCTGTCCAACAACTCCTACGATTCCTGGAACACCACGGGAACCAGGATGTCCATGGGGGCCTTGGGGGCCAGGTGATCCAGGAGGCCCTGGAGGGCCAGGCGGTCCCATCATGCCACTTCCACCCAAAGTTGCTCTTTTGGCACTCACCGCTAACTCTGCCAGTTGTTCTGTAAGGCAAAGATGAAAAGGAAGCAGTGCTTCACCTACCAGGCGTCTTCCTCCATCCCTACCAAATTCAGGAGGTTCAAAACAGACAGTGAAGACACGCTTCTCCACAAATGTACTTTGGCTTATGGAGACAGTTGCTGCTCAACAGCTGTGTTTACACAACTGTGTTAATTGCCAACCGAGCAGCTGTATTTGCACAACATGATGATCTGGATTAGTTTTCACTTGGTTAAACTATTTCTCGATTAATGTGTTATATGAACCCAGATAGTTTGTTGGCCTATCATTCAAGTTATTGTACAAATTCAGAAAATGGATTAAATCAGTAACCAGGTAAAGTGTGTTCTGTAAGTACGGCTTGACTCCTGGAGACTTTATGGATATGAACATGCAACATTGGCCTGTATCTTTTTTCAACCTCTTAGTCTGGCCTACAGCCTTGGTATGCCCTGGTGGTCTTTCCTCCAAGCACTGATCAGCCCTGACTCTGCTTAGCTTCTGAGCCTAGGCAATGTTGGCTAGGGGCTATCTGTCAGGCCTAGCCCAAGGAACTCCAAGAGACAATGCCAATTCAATCCAACTATGTTTATTAGCTACAACCTCTAACAAGAAACTTCCCAGACTCA